TTGGGGGGGCAAGAGCCAACAAACTACCATATAGATCATTCACTGAGTCAGACCGGAAGTCCAGGTAATGTCTGGGTTCTGGTCTGCTGGAAGGGCTTTGCAGGTCCCCAGGCCTCGGGTTTTTCTGGAAATTCCACACAATTTTCAGAATCCGCTGTCATCATGCGTACTATAGAGTAGGTACCCACTACTTAAGAACCAGAATTGGACGGGAGTTTCTGTAAGTTCCCCCTTTAAATGTCTGCAACATCCTCAAGCAGCTCATGGAAACATACAAGAAGCCTAAGGACGAGGCTATGACCTTCCTCAGGAATCTTTGACACAACTCTGACATGGTACTTTCCCTAAATAGGGGACCCTCATATAGACCCAAATATACTATAATCCTTTTTATTGGGACCCCCAAAATTGTACCCTAATTTTGGGAACCCCCTATGTCAGTGGAGGTTTCGTGTTATAGCTTCGCGGCTTTTAGGTTTAAGGGCTCAGCGTAGCTTGCGGAGACAATGGCTTGACAACCCTGTAAATCTCTCTACCATTCTCTACCCAATACCCATGCAAGCTATAGTCTAAACTCCTTCAAGGGTTTATATAGGGGGTTATACAGGGGAGAACTCTAGGGCTTATTCAAGGGGATGCTAGAAATTTTCACGCTAGCCCTTACTTTTAGCAACCATAGCAGGTATAGACTACAGAACCACAATAAACCCATGTCCATTCACGTCGGACGCACGCATGGTTTGGGAGCTTCCCAAAAAAAACGCGGGCCCTTAGCGACCGTAGAGACATATAGGGATTATGAGGGGCTTGTAGGGGGTACCTATTATGCATTCTGCCCCCCTTTTTTGCTTCCCTGGAGACAAATAGGGATGATGACGGGATTGTAGGGGTAGCTATTAAGCATTATAACCCCCATGTTTGAGCTTCTGTATGGCCTGAAGGCATGCGCGACGTCGCTGACAGATAGGTTTCTGGTCATCCATGAGAACTCCTGGGTTGCTGTTAAGGAACCTAAATTAAGTTACCATAATGGGGGGACATAGGAATTAACATGGTTTCCCCAATATAGTAACTTAGACTAAATTCCTTAAAGCCCTATATGCCTGCAGTTTCCATGTCATTTTCCATGTTCTTTTCCATTTGGTTAGTCATTATGCGCGGATACTATCCCTAAACTTTTAAGCCTAAATCCTTAACCCTAAACCAAACCCCTAAACATCCCCAAACCCTGAACCTTAAACCCATTATCGTAGCTTAAGTTCCTAAACAGCCTGTATATCCCTATATACCCTATACAATGACCCTCCCCTATACACCCTTACTATAGTAACTGAAACTCTGAGTTCCTAAACCCTAAGCCTTGCATATACCCTATAGACCCATTACGGCAACTTAAGCCCTAAACCCTAAACCCTAAATCCCTAAACCCCAAAATCCTAAACCCTAAATCCCTATATAGACCCCAAAACCCTAAATCGCTAGCTCCTAAACAGAAACCCAGACTCTTGGAGATCGACACGGCCATTTCCATCCAGATCCAAGGACTCAAACCTCGGGCTTAGGGTTTTTGGGGTTTAGGGTTTTGGGGGGTTTAGGGTTTTAGGGTTTAAGGTGTTTGGGGTTGAGGGTTCAAGGTTTTGTGGTTTTAGTTTTTTGTGTGTATGTGTGAGAGTTTGGGGTTTAGGGTGTTTGGGGTTTAGGGTTTAGCTGTTTTTTTTTGACTGGACCTTTAGGGGTTGAGGGTTTAGGGTTTTTGGGGGTTTAAGGTTTTAGGGCTTAGGGTTTTGGGGGTTTAAGGTTTACGGTTGAGGTTTTGGGGTCTTGGGGCTTGGGGTTCAAGGCGAAGGGCTGAAACTTGGGGCGTCTAAACATTGGGAGTCTCTTGCGGCGGGCCTCCATAATACGGAGCCTAGTATTTTTGGGCTCTTCATTGGGGGCCCGCTGGTCATGGAAACCACTTTCTAGAGCTGAAACGACAGTGAAGGGTGGATATCTTTAGTAACCCTCTGCTTAGAATTCCTACAAATGTCCTATTTCTAACTGAAGTTCACGGGTGGCAACCACCTGTAACCGCAAAGAGTACAGCTGAGTCGCCTTAACCTGCGGATTTAATGTAGGCATGACCCAGTAATCCCTTATATAACCCTAAACCCAACCATGGGCTTACGGGTAGGGCGTGGGGTTTGCCGGGTGTAGGGTTGCGGCCTCAGAAGCCTGCGCGGATAGCTATAGGCGCAGGGTCTACAAAGAAGATAATGGTGATTCATTCCCTTGGGCTCCAAAGTGGGGTTTAGGGTCTCAGGGTTTGGGGTCTAGGGTTTAGGGTTTAAGGGTTTAACGGTTTTAGGGTTTAAGGGTTCAAGGGTCTAAGGGTTTAACAGCTTTAGGGTTTAGAGCTTAGGGTATCCAAACCCAAGGGTTACAAACTAGGATGTTGGGGTGCAGGGCATGAGGGTGTTCGTTAGAGATTCGCTTACTCCCTACTAACCTTAAACCCTAAACCCTAAGAACCCAGAACCCAGAACCCTAAACCCCTAAACCCTAGACTCAGACCCTAAATCCCTAAACCCTAAACCCTAAATCCCTAAACCCTACATCCCCAAACCCTAAACCCTAAGAACCAGTAAGTTTAGGATCTCCAGGCCCTGATCTGGTCCAGCTCTGCATCGGGGTGGGGGGCTTTGCTTTTGATTGCCTCCATCCCTGCAACCCCTAATGGGTTCTCCAGGGCTTAGGGTTTAGGGTTCAGGGCTTAGTGTTGCAACAAGCCTCTACGTGTGGATTTCCGTGTCTTGAAATTTAGGCCCCCTTGTGACACAAGGCCCTTGTGTACTCTCCACCAAGACGCCAAAATGGGAACATTGAATTTCGGAAGCCCTACCCTGATGAGAAAAGACATCTCGCAACACTTCCAATACATGCTTCGCTCAGCGTGAGCCTACTCCTTTGAAGTCTAAAGCAAAAAAGAACGTCAATCCTCTGGCGTACCCTGCCACAACAAGGAGTTATCATGAGTTCTCCAGAGTTTCCTATGGCATGAACATGAAAAATATGAACATGGTCCATATGTCTCCAAGAAACAAGCTCTGCGCGCTGTCACGGTCCACAAGCCCTACCAAGGAGGTGGTGAACTCATCTGCGCTAATCCTAGGAGCGCCAAAATCTGTCTTTAGGGTTTGGAGTGCTTAGGGTTGAGGGTTAAACGGATTACCTGAACCCCAAAAGTATGCAGAATAGTGGGCTCTTGGGCTGTGTTTAGGGGTTTTGGGCTATCATTTTACATACTCTTGGGGTCCGGGTAGGACATACTTATTGAGGCCGTGTTTAAAGATTCTCAAGCCGAAGGCCCAAGGCCTAAATCTCCAACTGCAAAGCGACATACTGGTGCTGAAGGGGGAACGGGAAAGCGAATAGAGGTGTTCAATGAGGGATACATATGAAGGGATTCTAAGCCGACACCCCCGACCCTCTCCCCCTGAAGCACCAGTAGGATAGAAGGAAGAACAACCTGCCAGCACACGTACTAGATTCGCACCATCACCATCCAAGTCCAAAGTTTGGAACGCGACCTCTGCGGCAGTTTCCATGGCCCTCTGTACAGGATCAGGACAAGCCCGGAATGGCTGCAGAACAGGAGAATACCAAATGTTTAGGGTTTAGGGCTATAGTCTATGGTTTTTGAGAGATGAAAGCCTCTCTTTAAGGCCAATATCGCATGGACCGCCTGATATAGGAACGAGGGCCTCCACTACGAGAATTATCATGCTCTGCGTGGAGAAGACATTCCCTGAGAAGGTCATGCTGATTAAGGATTAGGACCTACTACAAATCCAGACATTGGCCCAACAGTAAACAGCAGGTGCAGCATGGAGTAGAAAACGGAATGTTCAAGAAAAGGAGCTCATTACTCTACATAATTGGATTTATCAAGGAGTTATGGGAGTCCGGATGGTTGGGAACCATGAGCTCTAAACCCTAAGTGCCAACACCCCTACCCAAATTGAGGCAATTCTTTGACCTCGTCTTCCTCCTTGCTTACCTGCACAATGAAACTTGCCTCTTGGCAGGGAAGGTGCTGGTGTTCATTGTGCATGAAGATTAGGGTTTAGGGTTTAGGGTATCCTGAAGATTCTAGAGGCAGTGTTACAGGGATTCATGACTGCATTCTCCTAGGAAGGTCACAAACTTTCAGCCTTCAATCCTGCGTGCAGACACACGCAATCTATAACTTCGAAATGCTACACACAATTGCCCTTCCAAACCCTATACCCTGCACCCTAAATCGTAAACCCTAGAACTCTGAAACCTCATTTTTCTAACCTGGCAGGTGTAGGGCTTAGCATTTATAGTTTACGGCTTAAGGTTCAGGTTTCAGGGGTGAAGCCCAACTAATTAACCTACAGCTTGGAAGTAATAAGTAATGGACCTAAAATGAATGTTACAACCCATCAAACTGTATAGTCTCCCATAAGTAGATAGAATATGGGGTATGTGGGGATCTTATTATAATATACCCAAAGCCATATTCTATCTAATTAAAGGGAGCTATAAGTACTTGGGGGGTAGCGAGTTGAAGTTGCGACATCCTGCAGCTCCACCATCTGAACCACCAAGCTCGCACTCTGAATCCTACTCCCCTACACCTGATAATAACCACCCCCCTCATAGTAATAAACTGAATATGGTGCAGGCTATTTAGGAATATAGATATACATATTTGAGGGAAGATCTAGTATTAGAGGGCTTGGGGGGGTGATTATTAGGCGGAGGGGATTACTCCGCCCAATGTCTGAGCACACATCCTAAATCCTGGTTCCCATTGGGGTAATATGAGGGTTATCTCGGTATTTGTATTGGGCTAATGGAAACAAAATGCAAACCACTATTTAGGGTTATATTGGGGTTATATTGGGATAATGGAAAACAGAATGGAAACTACTATTTAGGGTTTAGGGTTTAAGGTTCTAGGTCTACCAACGATCAAATGCCGGACACGGGACGTCTGACACTCGTCGCGTTGTAGCGCTGCATGCATTCAATGGAGCGCCTCTGGTAGCGTAAGGTCCGCTTGGAGGGTCATGGGCACTCATAAGTATGGAACGGTATACAATACATGTGAGTCATAAGCATGGCCTTGCTTAATTACATTGGCTCTCATAAGTCTCGCTGGTAGGTTCCCAGTAGTACAGTAGACCTTGAATCCTTTCAGAGCCCGTCACATGTATGTATTCCTTGGAATTCCAAATTCCATCGTCATTCTGTCTGGCAACTAGCATATCCTGACTAATTCCCTGATGCTTCAAAACCGCTTATCACGTTTTGAGCTCCTGTAGGTATGGTGCAGTTTCGGGGCGTTTCTCGGTGGTTGAACCAAGAAACCAAAAAAAGGTTGTATTTATCATTCGAATACTCTAGCCAAATTCAGGCACTAATGTTGTTCCAAGCTAGGGACTAGAGCCCCCTCCTCAATATTACTCAAGCGGGAGCCGAGGCGCAAAATCTGCGTGAGGGCAGACATACCATTTTCTGGAGCTGCTGTGGTGGAGGGACTTGCCTCGAGTCCTCTTCACAAGGCTGCGGTGAGGTGCGGCCGGGGTGCATCCTTCATTTGGGGATGTCTTAAAACAGGGGTGGTGCAAGCAACGCTAGGGAAGGTCAGGGAGTGTTAGGGATAGGTGGGAGTACAAAGGGCTAAATAAGCTCCCTCTTGCGTTTTATTTCGGATTTATTTTGCGCAGCCTATGCATCAACATGCTTGTGTGGTGGAGCCGCGGAAGTGGAAGGTAGAGGACCTGTTTGAGGTTTGGCTCATTATGCTCGCCGTGTGCAGTCTTTGTCACAGTGAACTTAGACACCATCTCCTCAACTGCCCACCCAGAATATAACCCCTATAATCCCTGTAGTTTCCATTTGATTTTCCATTATTCCTCTATGTATATATATATATGTAATATGTATATGTAACCCCAATTAATATACAACACTAGTTTCCACTTAGTTTAGAGGACAAAGTTTCGTAGACCACGAGGATCCTAGGTGGGTCGGAGAAGTTTACTGCAAAATAGGCCACATGTAATTTGCAAAGAGCACCATGGCCTTGCATGTCAGAATGCACAGACTTGGGGTTGAGAGTTTGAGTTTGGGGTTTCGGGTTTGGGGTTCAGGGTTCTACCCTGAGGCATTAAGCCCCAAACCATCCTGACACATGCAGCTTTGCCTCTTTTGTCGGCAGGGATGCCTAAGATAGTGATTCTGGCAGGACAGAAAAAGTTTCCCCGGTGCCTACCTCAAGCTGGCCCCATCCTGAATAACATGTCGCACAAAATCCTGCCCTAAACCCTAAACTCTGCACGCTGAACCCTAAACCTTGAACCTACTACATGTAACCTATAATCTAAACACCTCGTTTCCCCCTTAATGCCCTATAGTACTCCCCTATATAATCCCCTATATAACCCCCTTTCAGGAGTTTAGACCCTAAACCCCGACCCCTAAATCCTAAACCCTGTATAATCTCCTATATGACCACCTTTAAGGAGCTTAAGCTTTCTAAACTACAGCTCATGTAACCTATAGAGGGAAACATGGAAGCCGGAAGAAAAGAAGGCTCGAAGTTTCCAACCACTATTTTGGAATACTGGAGAAACCTTTAAAGAGGTTGTATAGGCGTTATATACTTCTTCTTCATAATGGTTATATTGAGATAATGAAAAAGAAAATGGAAACTATTTAGGGTTTAGGGTTATGGAAAAGGAACTGGACCATGAAATGAGCATTGAGATGATACAAGGACTCGGGGCGTAGCGGGTTTCAGCTTGGCAGGACAAGTCTACCGGTGGTGGCACTGGACAAGGCAAATCCGCAAACCCTCAACGGCAAAGAACAAGCCATAACCTAGTAACATCCCCCAGTCTCTAACAATTTTCATCCTACGCAATATCAAAAGCCCCAACCCCCAGCCCTGTTATGGGGAATATGTCGTTGGGGGGTGGCCAGTGTTTCACATGTAACACTAGAGTTTCGGCCTTTACCTACTCAATGCTAAAGTCCTGCGGGTGCGATGATCTCCCGAATCTTCAGAGCTTCCACGAGTTCCTTCCAGGGGCGGATTAAGGTTTTGGGTTTAGGATTTCGGGTTGCTCTCAAGGAGCGGTCTTTGCTTTGTGTCCGTATTTTGATAAGTTACCCAAGGGCTCCAATGTAGTTCCTTTTTGGGTTTGTTATGTTTTCTTGGTAAGGGATTATAATAGACTACCCAAAAAGGAACTACATAGGAGTGTCTAGGTAGCTTACGTCCTCAGAAGCGACCCGGAATGCAGGATGCCAATTTTCTAAAAGCGTGCAAGCAAGCCCATCTGCCTTGGAAGCCTCCCAAAAAAACAAGGTTTAAGGGTTTAGGGGGAGTTCTTATTGATATTAAACAAGAACTTAACCCTAAACCCTACTCTCTTTTCAAGAGAGATCTCCAGGTCAAGGAAGGGTTGAGCTTCTTCTTATCCGTTTAGGGATCCTAAACCCTACGCCCTAAACCCCTAAACCCTAAGCTCTAAAGCCCTAAACCCTAAGCCCTAAACCCCTAAACCCTAAGCCCCAAAGCCCAAAGTTAGGGATTGAGGGATGCTCAAGGGGGTGGCAAGGTTTGTGCTGTCGGGTCACGATTTTTGCCAGTTTTGGGTCCAGGTATAATATGTTACAATCCCTTACCAAAAAAGCAAAACCCTAAATCCTGACACCTTGAACCCTAAACCCCTAAACTACTAAAGCTTACCCAGAGGTGTGAACCCTGAACCTTCCCTAAATCCCAAAGCCTAAACCCTAAATCCCAAACTCCTTATTGCAAGGCCTAACCCCTAAACCTTAAACCCCACACCCTAAACCCCAAATCTCTAAATCCCGAAACCCTAAACCCTAAATCCCAAACCCTAAACATTAAACCCTAAACCCTAGATCCCTAAACTCTAAACCCTAAACCCTAAATCCCTTATTGCAAGCCCACCTTCGCCTCGGGACCTAGCGCTGCTAGGGCAGCGGTGGGATCTCTGCGGCCTCCGACACCACATAAGCCCATTCAGGACCCTAAGGATATATTTGTTAAAAGTTTAAGCTTTAGGGTTTAGGGTTTAGGCTTTAAGGCTCAGGATGTAGGAGTGCGTTTTTGTTGTTTGTTCTGTTTTTTTTTTGGCGCCTCTTAACTTAACAAAATTGGGGGTTAGGGTTTAGGATTCTGATGGATAATAGGGGTTCCTTAGTAGGTATTATGTCGGGGTTCTATAGGGCTTCTTAACACGGGCACTCTTTGGGATTGAGATTTGTGAAAATTCTGATGGATTATGGGGGTCCTTAGCAAGGAGTATGTAGAACTCATAGAGGTCTCTCAAGCATTTACGGTTTAGGGTTTAGGCTCATATCGGGATTGTGAGGGGCTCTGGATTATAAATGGTTAAGAAGAAATACGCAAGCAAATAAATGGGGATGATGCAAGGCATCTAACTCAAATGTTTAGGGTTTAGGTTTATGTCGGGATTGCGAGGGGCTCTCAGGGTTATAAAGGGTTGAGGGGAAGAAATGCATAAGTAACTGAATGGGTATAATGCAGGCATGTAAAAAGAGGCTCTAAGCTTGGGTTTCATTACGGGTTTCCGTAGGGATCCAAGTATACAAATGATACCTACATTGGGCCCAAAGTCTGTAAATATTACCGATAGTGGGCTATTTGGATCCCTAGGGTTGTGTAGGGGCTTAGAAGGATGTATACGGCATACACAGATATATAGAGACTTCAGGCCGCTAGACTGATGGATTTCTGACGAAGAGCCCCCGTCATAGTCCCCGTCCTGCCATACTGTTGATACTAAACATCCTGCATGACCTTGCTGTACCAAAATACCATAATTCCCAAGGGGTAAGGCACTTGGGGTCATGCATCATTTTTAGTATCCAGCGTAGTAGGCACTGAAACAGGGATCCTCCTATGTGGGTCGTTCGAGAAGTTGGGTTGGGATCATGCCCCACTCTGTTCTTGATTCACTGAGGTTTAAGGTTTAGGGTTGAGGGTCTAGGGTTTTTGCCAGAAGTATCACGTTGACCCATAGAAGCCTCTGAAATCTCGATGCATAACCGCTTAGACCCCAAGCGCTGAATCCACTTAAGCTCCTACACCCCATAGCCATCCCCAATATGCGCGCATCCCAAACCCTAACACCTCGACTCCTAAACCCTAAATCCCAAAAACCTTATACTGTTGATGGAGGAAATCTTGCACCACCTTAGGTCCTTAAAGTCCTAGGAATTACAGTAGTTTAGGGCCCCTAGGTGGTGCAAGATTTCATCCATCAACAGTAGCTCAAAGCTCGCAAGTCTTCGAGCGAAGTCCGGGGCCTACTGCAGCAATGACGCCCTTCACCTCATCTGTCAAGACGAGATCCTGCGGAGCTTGCTTTGCAAGGTTGACGGCCTTACCGTTAAAACGGGCATATAGGTTCATATAGGGGTAACGCGGGGGTATATGTAGGGTTTAGGGGTTAGGGCTTCTCAAAATGAGGGTTTGAGGAACAAGGGGCTTTGGGGCTTACGGGCTTGGGAAAGAGGAGGCTCAAGCCATTGGACTGCGGATTTGAGGGTTTAAAGTTTAAGGCCTGAGGGCCTCCCAGACCTCCCCAGAACCCATATTAGTGTGATTAGCGGCAATTAACAAAGGCATGTTACGTACCTCAACCCCTGAAATCTGAAACAGGGGTTCTGCCATGATTTGAGACATCGCCTCACGCAATGCAACTCAGCACTACAGGATCCGCAACTCCGCAAAGATGGCCGCCTTGAAAGGGGCGGCCCATGCGAGCAGCGCGGCCGCTTGTGCTGCTTCGCGTGTTCGTGCGATCCTTTGCAGAACGTCTGAGGTCAGCAAGCCGACCCTCCGCAGCTTGCCCCACGCGCGCTTGCGGCGCCCCGCAGCAAGTTTCACTGGCCCTGCGCACTTTGCGCCATTTCTCGGTGCATGCTGGCGGTGATCCAGCACGACGGAAAGTGAGCGACGCAATGCTCACAGTGACGGTGATCAGTCTGACAAGAACGGAATTCGAGGGTCCCTTTGCCTTTGGCTCCTCAGGCTCCTCGGGAGCCTGACCAGGGTCTGTAACGTCCGCTGCAACGAGCAGGAACAGACGTGCAGCATTACTTGGGGCCATTGCGTAGTGCAACGCCACAAACAAGAAGTGTTGCTCTTCAAATCTTCAATCTTCCAATTTGATGTCTTACGCTCTTTGCAGTGATGCCCCCCAGGCTTGGGTTGTCCTTTGAGAAAACCCGTCTTCATCAACAAATCCGCAACTTCTGACAAAGAAAAAGACAGAATGTTAAGTCAACTTGGTTCTTCCTGCAACCGGAACTCATGCTCTTCTGCATTCAGCACTTGTCTGGTCTTGGCGTGTATATAATGCTCTAGTGGAAGGATCCTCGAACTGAAGGTGTCTAGGCTACAGACGGTGGGTCCGCCCTATAATGACATGAAAGTCATACCTCTGGTTATAAGGTCCTTACCATAGGGTTGGGGGTACTGCTCGCTTTTTGGGCCCCCGTCCCATATCTCTGTACCTGCAGAAGATTTGTCCAAAGAGGCTCTTTCCCTCACGATGCGAATTGCAAATGGCGTCGTGTTGGGTACCTAGTAAAGATTCGCTAGTGACCATATCGAATCTGGAACTCCACAAACCATCCACATCCAGCACTAGACTCTAGACCCTAAACCCAAATCTTTGAACCCTAAATCCTAAACTCAGACCCTAAGCCCAAATCCCTAAACCATGACCCGCCCCATATCCGTAGACCCTACAGACCCTACACCTAGATGCTCATACCCCAAACCTTCAAATGCCTAAGCCCTAAACGACTCCCTGTACCCTAGCTCCCACAAACTTGAATCCCTTCAACCGGTGGGGAATCTTCCCCTTAGACACTCAAAAGTAAGCAAAAACAATGGCCCAAAACCCCTAAACATGATCCAAAAGACCATTATTCTACATAACCCTAAACCCTGAACCCTAAACCCTGAACACTAAACCCTAAACCCTGAACCCTAAACCCCTACATGCTTTGGGGTTCAGGCTTCTCACACTTCCCAGCGCTTGTCCTCTGGCTGCTCTGGTGCGGAAACAAGAATCTCCACCGGAGCCCTGGGACGACAGGGTTCAACCGGTTTAAGAAATCTGTCCCGTGTAGGTATAAAAGGCTATGGTGTGCCCATAGATACAGCATACATTTATGTGGAATATATATATATATATGTGTGTGTGTATGCATCTACTGTATATATATATATATATGGTCACAGTACATGTATGTTGTGTTCACATATATATATATACACTGCATATGTATATGCGTGTATATATATATGGGTGAAAGATTGAGCCCCCAAACCCTAAATCTTACTGATGTTGAAGTAGGGGTGCGGGATGGGAATACAAGCGCTCAGGGACTAGATCAGGATTTTAATAGGGATCCTCTTCCCCACACATCCTCAAGCACCAGGACCCTTAGCCCTAAAATCCGAAATCCTAAACCCTAAAACCCTAAACCCTAAACCCTAAACCCTAAGCCCTAACCCTAAACCCTATAACCCTAAACCCTAACCCTAAACCCTAACCCTATAACCCTAAACCCTAACCCTTCGTAGAAACACCTGCCGAGGCACAGGATGCCCATAGGAAAGCGATCCTTCACCCGCTTTCGGGTTTAGGGTTTAGGGTTATAGGGTTTAGGGTTAGGGTTTAGGGTTATAGGATTTAGGGTTAGGGTTTAGGGTTTTTGGGTAACCCAATCTAGTTTAGGGTTTAGGGTTTACAGGAGATGTATTGGGATAATGGAAAAGAAAATGGAAACTATAATAATGGGGTTATATAGGGCTAAGGGTTTAGGATTTGTTTTGGTAACCCGACCCCCCAAAATTAGGATCCAAGCAGAGTGATAACATGGCACTTCTGGAGTCCTGATGGTGGGGGTTGGGGTTACCAAAGTCCACTTATCAATGGGTGTAGGAACCAGGGTATTCCTTGAAGTCTTTAGTCTAGCGACTTTCGACTTAAGAAGGAGCGGGAAGCGTAACTTTGGAGGCTATAGTACCCTAACGCTACTGGGTCCAGGTACCCAAATAGTAAAGCTTTAGGTATCTAAGCCATTCAGATTACTATTCATGGCAACCCAACCTATACTGATCTTACGTAGGGTAGGCTTTGAGACGCTAATTTTGGGACCTAGACTTCTGTTTGGGTATCTGGGACCCTTCTGGTATAGTGCCCTCAGAGACCCTGAGCTGAGGACATACAGTGCCTGACACAACGGCTTAAGGTGGTGTAGGGTAGTTTGGGGTTTAGGGTTTAGGGGTTTGAGGTTTAGGGCTGAAGGTTGACCCTTAGACTATTGTGCCTAAGAGGCTCTTAGGGTACGGTACCTCAGAGACCCGAAAAACATACTATACCCCAGGGGATCCTTCCCTCAGGGTCCATTACTGAGGGTGGTATCCTAAACGGTCCTAAACCCGGGTCCTGTATGCGGCGAAGCGCCACCACAGCTGGAGACTCCAGAGGCATCATGGCGAAGCGATCCTCACAGCAAACTTTTTCAGAGGTTCTCTAGGGTTCCCATTGGGTTTAGGGTTTAGAGTTTAGGGTTGAGGAGGGTTTAGAGCTGAGGGTTCAGAGCCTTTGGTTTGCGAGCTCCCTATTGGGGTACAGTACCAAGCCGCATGGTACCAGGGTCGCCATCCGGGAATTTCAAACCTGGGCCTCATCTTGTGCACCCGACTCTCTTTATTGCTTTGTACGTACTTGTTGGAAAGGCCTTAACACCTTAAATCGAAAAGCCCGCATTCAGGAAACCCCAAATCCCTGAATTCCTCGCAATGTAGACGTCCGAAAGATTTCCAATTATCCTGGGCTCATGGTCCTAGATAACACTGTGTTCCCGTTTCGACAGTAGCTGCAAAATGTCCGAAAGCCTCTTCTAATGCAATCTTTGACCTGAAACCCTACACCCCACAGCCCAAACCCAAGACCCTAGATCCTCTCCGCCTACCTAATTATATGTATCTATTTTCACCCCACCAAGATCCACCTCGTGCACATGTATATATATATATATATATTTATTTATTTATATTTATAGAGATGCATATATATATATATGAATGAATGTCTGCATATAAGTATACACACATATACATATATACATATTCTAATTTATGTATCTATGTATTTTGGCCCTAAAGCCAAGAGGCAGCCGTGATATGCAGCGAGGGCGCCGCTGAGAGGATGGGCCAGAGAAGCCTCGGACACCGAGGGATCCAAGTAGCCCCAAAGTTGGCTAGGATTTAGGATTTAGGGTTAAGGGTGTAGGATTTAGGTTTTAGGGTTTAGGGTGTAGGATTCAGGTTTTAGGGTTTAGGTTTTAAGGTTTAGGGTTTAGAGTGTAGGATTTAGGTTTTAGGGTTTAGGGTGTAGGATTTAGGTTTTAAGGTTGAGGGTCTAGGATGTAGGTTTTAGGGTCTAGGGTCTAGGGCTTGGGGTGTAGGATTTAGGGTTTAATTTAATTAGGGTTTAGGGGTTATATAAGGGTTTAGGATTTAGGGCTTAGGGTTATGCAGTATTACCACGGGGTCCAGGGTGCACTCCCCCCCCCCCTCGCGGCTGAGCTGAAGGGAAAGGATTATGTAAGGGTAGATAGGGGAACGGAAAAGCAGTGGAAACTACTACAGGGTTTACGGTTTAGGGATGATATGAAACACACAGCATACCTGCTTTTGAATGCTCCCCATAAGAGACCTTGATATGTGTGGGTGGCATGGTGTCTACCATTAGTATGAGGGGACGACCATTCGTAGACTTTCGGACACGAAGTGGCTAAGGTTGACAAACTTTAGGGCCCCAAGATGCCCCAGGTATTTACGGACTTGAGCGCTCAAAACCAGTATCATGTAGAGACTTGAGGGCCCAACGCTTGCAAACCTTTATAGGTCTGAGGTACAAGAGTAGCCATACATTTTCGCAACTTGAGAGCCCAAATTAGGTACAGTTCATGGACTTTGGGGCCCCAAAAAAGTACAAGCTGTAAACCTGCGGGCCCAAAGTAAGCATCAATTCTAGACTTACTTACTGTTGATTAGTAGAGAATAAGGAACTATGACATATCGAGATTATATTCCTATATTCCTACTAACCCTAGACCCTGAACCCTAAAATCTATATATAGATATGTACATATACATATTTTAAGGGGAATATTTCAATTAGGGATTATATGGGAATTATGCTCCCATATCCCAGGCTAAGCACTAGTAAGCTTAGAGGCCCAGGAGATGGAGACTTTCGAGTTTTGGCATTCAGGTTGGACGGTCCAATGTTTCAGGCTTCAATGTTTGGGCGGAGTTCTAGA